GGGCTCCTCCCCCGCGGTCACCGCCGCATCCTCCACTCTGTCGCTGGCCGCCCACAGGGTCTGCCCCCTGCTCCGCTGGCTGCGGAGGCCCCAGGCCACGTCCCTGGGGAGCGATGTCACGCACAGCTCGGCCTCCAGATAGGTGCGGGCAGGTCCCTGGAAACCGCGGCTCCAAAACCCCCACCCCTGATGCTCGCAGAAATAAAGTGCGCCAATGCTGTGCGTCTCAACCTCGTGTCTCGGGGATCCTTGGGCATAGTCGCCATGCTCCCACCCTTTGTTTTGAGATCCCCCTGCCTCAGCTTCCCAGAGCATGAGGTTGGCAGGCGGGTGCCATCCCACGGAGTAGTGTTTCCCACACTTGGCGTGGCGCAAGGTAAACGTGGGGTGGCCTCCCCAGAGCAGGGCGGCAAGTCCCGCAGGCGCCGGGGCGGGGAGGGAAGCTTGATGACCCGCATCAGGGGTCAGCGCGCCGCCCCTGGTGCAGACAGGCACGGCAGGCCACTCTTACCCCGCAGCCCGTTGCCCGGGGCGCCCTTCTAGGAGGTGTGCCCGGCTTTGGGGGACACGGCACGTGGAGGCCCAAAGCCTCTACAGCACCCACCCGTGACCCTGCCAGGGCAGAGGCTCCATCCCGACCCGCCCTCCCACAGCTCTCCTGCCCAACACACCAGGCGAGTCACTCTTTTATTGCGCGTTGTCCTCCTCCTCCTCGGGGTGAGAGCGTGAGAGCAGGGACCCAGGTCTGCACCCCGCAGCTCACCCCTGCCCCATAAACACCTGCGTGCTGTGTGGCCGGCTCTGCCCCAGGGCTTCTAAGGGCGGGGCGGGGCGTGTGCCCCTGGATCCCCAGGCCTGGGCACACTGGGGGTCACGTTACCGCCCTGGGGCTGAGGGACCCCGGACTCGGCTCCCCGGGTCGGGGGATTCCGTCCCAGAGCCTGAGAGGCCGGAGCCCGGGCCACGTTCCTTCTGGCAGAGGCGCCGCCTGGCGAAAGGGTGTCCCGCTTCTGAACAGAGCGCAGCTGCTTCTTCTTGGCCCGCTTGAGTTTGGCGGGATTGCGGATCTGGGTGGGAGTGGGGGCGTCAGTGCGTTCGGCGCCGTCCCTCTCCCTGGAGGGACCCCACCCCAGGCCGGGCCGGGCACTCACCACCTGGACGACCTCAGCTCTGCGCTCGTTCTCCAGGCACCGCCTCAGGTTCTCAGCCCGCCGCTGCTTCTTCTCCTGGAGCACACGGGACACAGGGAGGGAAACTTGAGACTGAGGGACCCTGGCCTTGGGGAGGGAAAGGCCCGTTTGGGCTCCAGTGGTCGTCAGGGTGGCGGCCCAGGAAGCTCTGGGAAGCCCCAGGGAGCGAGCCCTGTGCCTCAGGCCTGGTGCCCAGGGTCCACTGTGGAGGGAAGCTCCTCACTACACACTGAGCCAGGGTAGGGACCCGGGCCTACAATCCCAGTGCCCTGAGAGGCTGAGGCAAGGCAATCTCAAGTCTGATCCCAGCCTGGGTAATTTTTTTTTTGGTAGCTGGGATAGAACTTGGGACCTTGCACTTGTGAGGCAGGCAGCAGCACCACTGAGCTACAGCCCCAGCCCCAGCCTGGGCAATTAAGTGAGATTTTTTTTTTTTTTTTTTTGGTACCGGAGATCGAACTCGGGTCCTGGTGCTTGTGAGGCAAGTGGCAGAAGCACTGAGCTAAATCCCCGGCCCTAAGTGAGATTTTAATATACAAAATAAAAGAAGGGCTAGGGGTGTAGCTAAGAGCAAAGGACCTGGGTTCAATCCCAAAAAAGAAAAAAAAAAAAGTGGGTAAATAAACAGGTGGTGGTACAGGCTGGGACCTGAGGGCTGAGGCAGGCATCTCTCCTCCTTCTCCTCCTTCTGGAAGCTCAAGGGAGGGGCCCCAGCCTGCCCTCTCAGACAAGGCAGGGCAGCCCATCAGCCCCGCCTCCTCGGTGAGCCCTGAAGAAGAACCGACCCAACCCCTCATCCCCTCTGAGAGTAGCAGTGCAGGCCGGGACAAAGAAGCGGCCGGTTTTCAGTGCAGGTGGGAGCAGGCTGCGCAGGACGTGAGACAGGCTCAGCACTCAGCTGCAGCCACTGTCCCCAGGGCCCAGGCCCAGGCTGGTGGGGAACAGAGCACTGGGCCACCCGTTTCCTCGGAGCCGGGCCACGTTGCGTTACCCTGGTCCTGAGACAGTGTCACCGGCCATGGCCTCCCAGGAAGGAGGGACTGGGTGGAGGAGGCACAGCACGACGTCGCATGGCTTCCAGTACAACAGGAGCCTGGACAGGCGCAGCCTGAGCCGGGGCCCTGGGCTCCAACACCAGCCTGGCGGGACAGCAGCTGGCAAGCTCACCTGGCGGCGACGCGCCTTCTCCTCCTCCAGGTGCCGGGCGAGGTCCCTGGCCAGCTGCCGCTGCTGTCGCTCCTGCATCTTGCGCTGCCAGGATGTGCGCAGGGGCTTGTCCTGAACCATCTGGGAGAACCTGGGGCCATGGGGACAGCGCAGTCACTGGGCAGGAAGTGGCAGGAAGTACGTGGGTCACACCACATGGGGCAGAGCCACAGCCGATGCCCTTGTCTGGGATGCGCGCCCCTCACGCCTGACCACCACGGGAGGGCGCCCCTCCCAGGCAGGGCAAGTGGGTTCAGCTCTCTGCCACAGTCCCTGCCCACCCTCACATCGGGCCCCGAGCAGTGGGGTTCATTCCAGAGTTCTAGGGGAATGGGGAGCCCTGCCAGGCGTGGTACAGGCAGGCGTGGTGCATGGAGGGTGTGTTTTAAAAGAGTGTAGGAAAAGAAGGGAGAGAAACGCCGGAGCTGAGAACTGCTGAAGCTGGTGATGGGAACCTGGCCCATTACACTGCTCGCTGCATGCGTGAAACCCCCACAAGAAAGAGTAAAACAAGGGCTGGGATTTAGCTTAGTGGTTTTGCCACCTGCTTCGCCAGTGCAAGGGCCCGAGTTCAATCCCCGGTAACCAAAAAAAAAACGTAAAACAAGATGTAACCGAGACTCCCGGGTTGGAGCCACCAGTCAAGCTCCTCGTGGGTCCTCGGTGGCCCCCTGCTCCCTGCACCCAGGCCCCACATCCACTGCGGGGCTGGCACCGCTCTGCTGCTTGGTGGGAAGGCCTGTAGACAGTCTGGTTCTCCTTCCCCTGCAGGGTTGGCCCGAGCTGGGTGCCCAGACTGGGTACCAGGCCACAGGATACGGGGCCGCTATTGTAGAGCACAGGTGTGGGCAGCACTTTCTGTGATGCATGAGCTGCCAGTGGGGAGCCCTAGTCAGGCTGCTGGCTGGACCTGGAACCCACTTGTGCTGAGATAACCTCAGTTACTCCAGACTGAGGGGTGTGTAGCGGGGCGGCACCTAACGCCTGGGCCTCTAAGGGTGTGACACGGACACCCGCACACGGCACTGTCATGGGCAGCGTCCTCCTTCCCGTGCACTTCGGCTCTGCCCGACGTTCCCACTGCCAGAAGGGTGGGCTGCACCCCACGTCCCATCTTCACAAGTAACACAGGAACAACAGGAACGCTAGCTCCGCATCACCCGGGTGAGTACCGGGCACACGAACCGAGCCAACAGCTGGATGACTCGCTTCTGTCCCTTTGCCAGAGAGGGCAGGTGACAGCAGGGGACGTCGCGTGAATGAATTCGAGACGGCTGCTACGGGAGAGGCCCTTCAGGCCCCCAGGACTCTCGGAAATGACCTCCCGGGACCCAGGGCCCTGTGCCGCGCCGCCCCCACGTCACCTCTTCTTGGACCGGTCCTTCCACACGCGCCCGGACTTGGGCTTCCCCCTAGGGACCACGGGCAGCGCCTCCTCCCTCTCCCGTTTCAGCTTCTTGGCCGCCGGGGCCTGGTCCGAAGGTCCATGTC